ACCATTCTTGGATAGTGTTAGTTGATTGCACGGTTGGTTCAATTGATGTAGTATGTGACCTACGACGATCGTGTTTCCCCGCGTTCGACGATGTTCAGATGAATAGTGTCCGAAAGTTGGCAGTCTTTCACCGTAAGTCTTAGAATGTAACCCTTTGACCAGTTTGGTTTCTGTTCTCTGTGGATGTTCGAGTGCCTTTTGAACGCGAATTAACCATGGATTCTCAGCCCGTATGGCATACTTGGTGGACTAATGTATGCTGATAGCAAACGGGACAATAGGTGTGCTTCGAATGATCCAAACACGTCTTAGTAATCTAACTTGCTTTATGGCCTTTGTTGCCGCTCTAATGGCCTCCAATGGACTGTGGACTCTGAGGTTCGTCCCGTTGTCTTGCAGATCTGACTTTCTAGCCAAAAGCTTCGGGTGGGGACCCCGAGGTTGTCCCCTTTCTTCGACCAAAGCAACCGGGAAGTAACATGCCCACACAACCTATGAACAAATTATTCAGATTTCTTTTTGCTCATGTTATGTGGCACATTTGCCAGTTCTCTGTAATTGGTTACGTGTTGAAATATAATATAATAACACAATGTGTGGAACATCGTAGGTCCTCACGAACAACAACTCCCAGTTCCTTTTCGTTTGGAGCATACGCTAATGACTGACTTCCAAGTATGCACGGAAAGTGACCCCTGTGGCGCACCGATACAATTCGATGTCATTAGTGATGGACCACCGGAGACCGATTCGTATTTAACACGTTGCAAATCAATTTGATTCTCATTTATAGCCATCCTTTTTTTACTGATGTGCATAACCGTGTCATTGACTGCAGTCTGTCTGCCCTGTTTGCATGTTTCTCATCTATGTCGCCCCTTTTCTGTCCCCTTTCAATGTGTTTTTGTTGTCCGCTGGTCTGAACAGCATTTGGGCGCGGAAGACTGTTATCTAAGCACCGTCTGTACAGATCGCGTTGTGACCGAGCGACGTTTGTCCAGTCACGAATTGTTGGCCGCATTGCTCAGTCAATTACGACATGAATCGTCCCGGACCGCTCAGTTGACTCGATTCGAATTGCGATTTACCGACGAGTCACCCGCAGCCCATCCGGTCTCGGTTTTTGTGGGAAACTTGAAGGAGAATCTCTCGCAACGTTTGTATGAATGTATCCTGTTGGAAAAGCTGGGTGAATCCTGTCGATGGGATACGATCGATGCAATCTACTATGAGAGTGGTTGCCTCGTGTTGACTTATCGATCCAGTGAGAAAGCCGAACACGCATACGAGTTGCTGAAAGTGAGTCAACAGTCATTCGAGTTTGCCGATTTCGTGTGGTACATTTATCTGATTAGTTCAGTGGTTTTCATGGTACTGTTTGTACGCAACGGACTGAGACTGAAATCTGAAGAGGAGGGGGAGGAGGAGTTTCTTCCCAAAAAGGCTATTGAAAGCGCGTTTGATCCCGCGTTCTTTGTTCTGGTATCTAATTGCCTATACGCTGTTGCGTGATTTATACAAGAATTAGAAAACGGTAATTACAGGGAGATATTATGAACTAGACACATTGTAATGTTACTTCGTTTTCTGTCTTTGTGTTTCCTAAATCGATTTCTCTTTTCGTTGAGATCATATTTGTACTTTCCAATTGCATTCGGCGTGCATCTGTAATCATCCGACTACTGTTCCTTAGTGATCAGATGTTTTCGAACGATATGATTACCTTGATTTACATTTGCATTCCGTCGTTCGAAATAACCTCCAGAAGCTTCAGTATGGTTGTGGGTTGTGACTGTTCACTCTTCCCTTTTATCTCGTGAAGTGCTCCTCTATGGTCGTGCTTCTTAAACAGCCTCCATCGAGGATGCTCTTCTCACTGTTTTACCGTGGCCGAGGTATTTCCCCACCAAAGTGAGAGAACGAAAGTCCACTATCTAGGTTGATGAATCAATGGCTGTTTTTCAAACTTTATTGAATAATTACCGCCCACCCTCTCTGGGCAGTCTCCTTTCACGTTCCTTTCGATCCATTTGGTTCATGAGACTAAAAACCGATCCCGAACAGGGGACTGCCAATCAATGCACCAATGATTAACTCTGTGAAAACAAACCTGAAGGCCTTACGTGACAAGTCTCTAGAACCTCCTGTGTGGGTGCTTCCATCACGCTCTTGCGTTGGATCTACGTGGATCAGACTATTCAAACAAAGGCTAAGGCGGAGATTTCCAAAGAAAAACCGTTTTATCAGAAACCCTCATTTGGAAAAAACACTTTCTCATCTATCTAGTTTTTCCTCTCGATCACACACCGTACGTGATCTTCCCTGGTTACGCTACTCATGAGATATCACTCAGGGTTTAACCAGTAACGTCATTCAGCCAAAAGCTATGGCGCTGATAAAACGAAAGGCTCAGTTTCATTTGGCTGCACTCAATATCCGTACACGCTGTTCGCTCGGCCAACAAGCTGCTTTAGCTAGGACCTTTGAAACTTAATTTAGATGTATGCCGTGCCTCCGAAACTCGCATACAAAACCCCACTTGAATTATCACTTTGCGTCCTCCACGCATTACGTTTCATTCTCCGTGTCAGGCATTTGATGCTCGCGGTGTTGATAGTGTCGGGTTTGCACTGTACCAAGGTTGAGCGTTCAAATCCTGGCTGAATTCCAATTTGTAGCCAATTTGGCGCTGTACGGCTCGACGGTTCAGTATTGGTCAGTAGTTACAGAAAGNNTACAGAAAGAAGCGTCCGTACTCATTCGTCGTGTCAGTGTACGTACCGATTGTTTACAGTTTACCTGAAATGGGTGATGAATTCTACAAGGACGTTTCTCAACAACTCATAAATGTTCACCCACCGGACATTGCGGCAGTTGCTGGAGCTTTCAGTTTTCAGGTGGGACCTCTGGATGAATCAGAAAAGTGTCTAGGCGATTTATGGACAACGGAGATCGCCTTCCTCAACCTTGCGCTGATCACGGATTGTTTCTATCGAGCGCCAACTTCTCCCACTTGAACCGACACCGCCCTGCATGGAAATCACCCACCTCTTCACAGTGATAGACTCAAATGGACCACATCGCTATCAGCTACTTGTGACAAGGATTCATTCAAAATTACCACTCTCACTGGTCAATGCTCGTGGATACCAATGCTGTTGTTTTGCTAGCCAGAGTATCCTGGCACCTGGTAATCAACCGCAATAAGACCCCGGCAACGTATACCCGCGATACAGTTTTAGCAACCTTTGCCAAACGGCCTTCAAAGCGGAGCTCTGTCATTACCTCTCAGTTCAACCATCAACTGGAGGACTAAATGAATATCGGACATTGGTCAGGGAAGATATGCAAATGCTGCCTTGTCTCTCGTGCAACCCCCCGAAATTCTCCGGGATATTCTTCGACTTTTTGCTGGTTCTAGGGGATGTCTTTCGGACCATAAGATGATGTCAACTCGTTCAATAAATGGTCGGAAGACTTCGAAACCCGAAAACAGCTCCAGATAATATTATCCGTTGTGTGCTACCGGCTTTTCAATAATGAAATTCATTTTTACCTATTATTATGTGATAAATATCACGAGGGGTAAGTCCATAATTATGAATTTCTACTGTTCATTCGGCCTGATTCCGAAGACTTACTGTGATGAACTGCAGTAGGCCCCACTCGCATAGGTGTGGTATGGAACGAGTGTGAACCGCCAACCGCCGAAGTTGAGTAGTTGTAGTGTGGTTTCGAACGTTGGACCCTAGGGCTTCAATTTAGATCACTTAAACACAACCGCATACAGGTATTCATCTGAGTTGTGCGACATCGCCCCCAATTCTGAAATATCTTTCCGTCTCGGATATTATAATTGTATATTGATAACCATAGTCAAAGATCATTTATTCCACTTCTTATTCCCTATTTCGATGTTCTCACTGCTCTTGTAGTATCATTTTTTGAAGTGGCCATACAATTTATAGCAGTTTGAAAGTTAGCGCTCAAACCCGGAGAGTATTTGTTGCCGAACGGCGTCGACGTTCATTGTTTATACGAGTGATAACTGTTTCACGAGGGCGTTTATTCTGTCCAATTTACTTATTCTAAATAGCATATTTGTTCCTTGTGATTCACTGTAAATATAACCATTAGTGATCATTTATCAGAATTAAACTGAAAAATTATGGTACCACAAACCGCTCGCGTCAAATCTCGGCATAAGTATATTAAAAGAAACTAGAAAATTGATCTTTAGTTGTCAACCTTGAGATAGGCGGCTCGTTGAAACGTTTTGTAATATCGCCATACCCTTACCGGATGAAACAGTCAAGCATTTTCGTATAAAATTTAGACAGACAAGAGGAGCATAAATCCGGTATCTGAGTCCCTGAGTTTTGCGGGTGCTCTGACGCAAATACAAAAGCGACTGAGTGAACGGATGCATCAGACAACGGAATGTGGGCCGAGTCTCTTCGTGCGGGCTGGAACCTTCTTCGGCAGTCGACAGTTTCTCCGTGGAGAAGATTGACTGACAATCTGAAAGAGAGGAAATTACAAATACCATGAACCAATGTTGCAATTGAATGCCAAACAAAGGGGTTCACGTATTGATTTTGTGAAGAAACTCAAATCACGTCGCTCGTCCTTTCAGTTTTCCGCTTATCTCACATACAAATAATGTCCCGGTAGTGGACGATCAATGAAACAGTTGGAGAAAGACGGGGATTAAATACTGAACGCCTCATCGCTGGATTCCCTCATGTGGCACCCTAAATAGTGCTAAATTTGTTGCTCAGCTGGGGCAGGTTTTTTCGGGACTACGACTCTTGAAGTGCATTCGCCAAAAGTCAAACTGCGTTTTAAATGAAACCCAATGTCGTGCCATGTTGGTTATAGAAATTTTTGGACCTAATGATATTGTTTTCCCACAATCATATAGTTTCTATATTACCGAGCTCCAAAGTCAAGTTAAGCTTTATACATCCAACAGGATGAATTTTTAGCACTCATTTACCGCTTTACAGTTGGGATCTTAAAGTAATCGAAAATATAGTTTGTGTTGTAGACACAACTGATTTACCTACCTCGAGAGAGGCCAGGGTTCGGCATGTACTGGAAGAACTTGACAGCTCCGTTTTTATTGTCAAAACTCCCGGACCAAGAACTCAAACTAACGGAGGGCATATAGGATATTCAGAAAAATAAAATTTCAGTTTCTGTATCATGCCTATGAATACTTTTTCTAAGTTGATTCCTAAAAGTTTAAATATTCCCCTGATTGAACTGATAAAATGGCTTAATGACCGCAAAGTTAGTGTTTTCGGATATTCTCAGTTGTACTCTTACTTATCATATAGTGGAAAAGTGCCAACATAGTGACAACCATTGACTCGGTTCAAGTTCATCGATCCGTGCAACTTACGTAGCATGCGTCACAGACGCACTGGAAAGAATGAATTCACAGGAAGAAAGAGGAGGTTATTTTCAACAGTTTGTCTTTCACTTGCATTCACATCACTGGTGATCTATGGAACATCGTTCTAAGTTCGTCTGTGGGACGATTTTTTTAATTACACACCATGAATTACACTGAAAGGGGAAAGCCCCATAGACAAATAGCGTACTGTAAAAGAGAGAGTAGGGGAACATTCACGTAAGATCCAGTTTATTTATTCTTACATACCTTGATACGACTAGCTCATAGGAAAGAATAAGCCGGCTCCATGAATTTATCCGATGGCCGCTGTCCATGCTTGGCGGTTGGCTGCAAAATCCTTGCAAATATTGATCCAGTTTGTTTTCCATCGGTGGGTGCCGTACCATCAGAAGGCCATGTTGGTAAACGTCCGAATACATTGTCCAACCAGGACATGATGTCGGAGCCAAGATAATACTTGTAAAAGTGTCGTCGGGTCTGCGGAGAACATGGCCAAGCCATTGTAGGCGGCGGCGTTTTATGCGCGTTGAAAGACGGGCAACGTGGCATCGATTTCTGAGGTCTGAGTTTGAGACTGTCCCGCCAGTTTACTTTTAGGATGAATGGAAGACACCAGTGATCGAAGACCTCCAATCGTCAGATGTCCTCAGCGACTAGGTTTCGCAGCCGTACAGTAGGACTGGTCGAATTGCTGTGGCAAACATCCTGAGCTCGGTTTTGAGACTGATGTCGTTCCGGCGCCATTCTGTGTTTCGGAGCTGCAGAAACGCCGTTCGGGCCGTGTCGGTGCGCCAT